ATGCCGGGGCGCGGGCGGGACGGGCCCGCAGCTGGCCGGGTGCCAGGCCCCTGCCTCGGCCCCGCGCCCCTTCTAACAGTGGGTGAAGGTATAAAGTTCCACAGTCTGAGACTAAATTCAGCGAGGGAAGCTATAAATCCCTATGGGGCTCAATTCAGTGTCCATGTGTCTTCTCCCCCTGCCCCGGTCACGCAGTGTAACTCCAGATGCGCGGCTGTTTGTTTTGATACAATTATATAATAAATAGTTGAAAACCATTTGGTAAATCTTACTGGCAAGGGAAGCTCGGGCACAATTTTCAAATAATCAGCATCCTAATATAACTCGTAGATTATTTTCTTAGCGTGCGGCTGAATATTAGACACTTCCCATTTCCATGCAGCTGTTGTTTTAAGCAGTTGTTGGGGATCAGCTGTAGGATGGAGTCTCTTCTGCTGAGGTCACCAGACTATACTTAGTACGATGGGATGGTTAGAAAAAATAGCAGTCTCTTGCCAACTGAAAAGTACTCTACTGGAAAAGAAAAAAACCCAACATTTAGTTGGGTTTAAGTCTGTTTCAAAGAGCAATGAAATGTAGTTTCGGTAATCAACTTTGTGTTTGCTATGTCAGTAGCAAGGAAAGTGGGGGTGTTGCTGCAGGGAGAAGACTTGCACCAAGCTGCAGAATCATTAAAAGTATTCCCTCCTCTCCAATTACTTTTACTATACAGAAACTAAAAGTGGTTATCTATTGCTAGTGTTCAGCTTTGTTCCTCCTATCTTCAAAACAGGCTGCTGCAACACTTCTTCCAATGAGCAACAGAACGTTTAATACCACGTTGTGTATGCGCACAGGGCGTTGTGTAGTGTAATCCTATGATTTTACAAAGGGATCTTCTGCTACGCCAAACACCCTTTCATAGATCCCTACCTACTGCATGAAACTAAAAATACAAGCTTGTGTTACAGGGCAGATTATCTCTTGTTATGGAGCTTGTGTTTCTAAAAGTGCAACTGCACCCTGCCCCCATTCTTCACAGGAATACCCTAGTTTCCAAGGAATGGGGTCAGAATAATTAAAGTATTTTGTGTGGTGCTCTGGAAAAGCAAATTAGCCATTCAGTTCTGGAGAGCTAAATCAGATTTGGATTTGGGGTTGGTAAAAAAGGGCTTAATGTTCAGATGAATAAAAATAAAGATGGGTGACTGGTGACACGAGTTAATGTCTCTCTCTTCTCTACTGTGTGATTGCCCTATTGGCTTCGTTCTGGTCTTCTGCTTCTATACTTCTAAAACCAGCAAACACTTTGGTACAGACAGAGCCTGTGCTGAAGATTTGTTTGGGGTAGCATGGTTACAAGTAAAGAATACAACACACTGCTATAGTTGTGCTCAGGAAAGGAAACACACCTACCTGCTACATGCATTTACAAATTTTATAAGTTCTTGACTTTTTTTTTTTTTAATAAGGTGCTCGTAAAGCAAAATTATTTACATAATACAAAGTGATAGGCAGGAAAACAAAGCGCTGTTTAGGTTTTGTACACCAATTAACAATTACTACATTTATCAGATGCCCTTAAAAATTGTTCCTTATAAAATTATTTAATGATCAGACCAGAGTTTATGATTCAGAATTATTATATCTAGATTAGTTGCAGTATTAAGTGTATAGTGTGTAAATGTGCAGTTTAAATGTATAGTTGCCTTAATTTGCATTTCTAGGAGTGCCACATACGGTTTCTTCACTTTGCCATGACTTAATTTCTGTAGTTTAAAGTAGGGATATAGTGATACTTGCATCATGTCTTGGTGGTAACACTCAGGAGTATCAGTGGAAGTCAGCTAAAATTGTCAGGTAAATATGAGTGAGTTACAGCGGGATAACAGGGAATGTGAGTGTTATTCAACTGAATGATGCACTGAGATTTTTAATATATCAGAAGTTAATAAGGATCAAGATACAGTGGTCTAAGGCTGCTTTATTCTTAAAATAGTCTATGTAGGGATTTTACATTATTATTTTATGCACAATGACTGACACTCACTGAGTGAGTATCTTTGAAGGCCAGCCTCTTCTCCACTTTGAAAAGTGCATTGAGAATGGAAAGATCTGTGTAAGAGCTAATTAAAAATGAAAAGCATTTTAAAATGGAGGATCAACTCCTAGAGCATAATTTTGTGGTAAGTTTATTTCCTTCAGAATACATAAAAGGTAACCACTTGTTTCTACCATTCATGCCTCACTTTTCTTTTTTCCCCAGCTTTATGAACTTTAAAAAAAAACTCTATTCCTGAAACAGAGGAGGAGTTCTCTGATGACAAGCTGTGATGTTATTCTGTGCTTTGAGTTGTTGCCTTTATACAAAACTCAAATGCTTTTTTACAATAAGTAAATTACCAGCCATTACCAGCATCTGGCAGCCTTTTGAGATCTTTGTAAAACTTCTTTGCATAAGAAACAAGTTGTAGAGAACTCAGGTTTGTCACATAAAGATGATAGGCTGACTGGTCCCTTGTTCATACATCCCACGTGTTCCCGCAGCAAGGTACATCACCATTAACTTTATCCCTTGCTGCTAGCTTGTGTATTAGTAAGTAAAGATGCTTTGGACTTTGTCAACTTCACTATTTCGCTGACCAGCTTTAGCATCTTTTTGTCAATGGAAAGCAGGTCCCTTGTGTGAGAAGAAGGTGAAAATTTCAAAGTGAATCTGAGTCTTTCTGCCAGCTAAGATGAGAAGGGCAACCACTGAACAGTGAAGAATTACAAGCTTATATTACAAGTTGTAATAGAGATTGAGTGGAACATTTTTCTTAGGCTTCAGACTATCTGACCTTATACCTGGGTGCTCATGGAGAATTATATCTCGATACTGACTCACTTCTTTTTCAAAATATGTTATATCCAACTATTTTAAGAAGTCTCAGGCTTTTGTCTCAATCCTGTTTTCAGTGAAGCCACCCATAGCTTTGCAGGGAACAAGACCTCGGCTTTGATATGAAACTACCACTCTGAAGAATGTTGTATTTTTCTGCCCCAGGACACAATGTTCTCTCAGGTGAATAAACAAAATTAGATCCTGACGGTAACTGAGGGAATGTGGGCTGTTATTTCTTGTAAAAAAAGTAAGAGTCTTCTCTTTTTTTGCCAGAAGATGGCATTATCATTAACAATTTAGGATTCTTGAAAACCTGCCAATACTTCTCTTACTTCTTTACAAAGCCAATCTATTTTGAAGAAATAGATATCTGTTTTAGAAATGGTGTCTTCAGACACAAAGAACTCAACAGTGTTGGACAAATTGAAGTATGCTTTTAATGAGGAGAAGGGCGCTCCTTTCTTTTAGAGCATCACCAACTAAAAAGCCAGAAGGGTTTTGCTGTCAACTGCGATTTCCCCTGAATTCTCTCATGTACAAACCAGACAAAATCTTCTAGAAAATTGTCTACTCTTGAGTTTTAAAGTAATCAGAAATGCTGGAACCCATCACCGTGATGATTGCTTAATTCTTTTCCATGGTTAATTAATTTGTTATTCCTTTATTAGTCAATGTTCGGTTTTCCTAGGTTGTGAAATTGCTGTTCCATGGATGGAGAGACACTGGAGTTATCTCCTGAAACCGCTTAGATCCAGTAAAATTTATTATATCTGGGGAAGCAGGAGCAGTTATATTACTCACTGGGCCAGCTCTCATTAAGAAGCCATTTAGTTGCTTTCGCATGGCACAGAGCCTTAGCCAATAAGCCGTGCAGAGCAGCTTACATGTCTCAGTACAAACCCTGTCGTATGTTCTGCAGTATCTCTATCACTTGGATTTTCTGTATTTTGAGAATCCTAGTCCCTTGTTACCCCAGAAAATGGAAACCTGTCTGTACAGTCATTTCTAGCCATTGAAATGTATTTTGTTTAATTTTTAATTAGAAACTTGACCTTAAAATTCTTAATTCTCTCCCCTTGTCTGCTGTTCTTGTTTTCGGAAGTGTCTCCATTTTTTTTTTCCTTTTTATCCTCTCTTCTTTCTCCTGTGTTCAACATTATAATTCAAGC